AGTCGTCGCCGTATTGCCCAATGACTTGCATGCCAACTGCCACTTCAGGATTCCAAGGATGATCAGGATGAGCTGGGGCAGGAATCGATATTGCAGGAAGACCTGCTAGACTTGCTGGCACTGTGAAAACGTCGTTCATATATCGTTCCACAGGTCTAGAAGATTTCAGACTTTCTATATATGGAGGTGGACTTGGAGCGGTAGGGACAATAATGACATCCACGCCGTGAATGTTTGCCTCGGTATTGTCGCGGAGAGGATTTGGCATTCTGAAAACCGCGTCAAAGTCCTGTTGTACCAGCCTGCGGACTTTTTGAGCCTGGATAAAATAATTGTCGATTGCCCCCGCGCTCAAGGTGTAAGTTCCTAGCAGGATTCTCCTCCGAACCTCAGGTCCAAAGTTGTCATATCGATATGCTGAATAAAGGGGACCGCCGTTTGCATCTGCAGGGGCAGTGCGTTTCCGACCATAACGGACACCATCATATTTTGCGAGGTTTGAAGAAGCCTCTGCCGGCGCCAAGACATAGTAAGCTGAGAGTGCATGCTTTGTAGATGGAAGGGAAATGGGCACAATTTCGAACTTGTACACGTTTTGCAAATGGCTCAGGGTTGCCGTCCAAGCCCAGCGGACCAGGGGATGCATCTCCTCAATGTTGTACTCCAGAGGCACCCCTATTCGTCGTGTATGGTACTTCTGCGACGTCGTGACAGCAAGATTTCTTCTTCTTGACGCCGCAGAAGCTAGGCCTTGTACTTCCAGCAATCGTTTTGAAGAAGGGACTCTTGTAACAAAGAGTTTGGAAGCAAGAACGACCCGTCTTCTCTTATGCTTTGCAGCTCTGACTCGCTCTCGCGACGACAAACCCAAGCAGGTTGGATCTGAGAAATCTGGCCGCTGCAGAAGGTCTGCACCAGTAAGTAAAAGAAACCCGAGTTGCAGAGACTCACTGACCGAATGTCAACCTAATGTCAATGGCTGATTTGGCAAGGATTCCGACGGTATCCAGGGAGTTTGCATAGGGGATTACCCCGGTACGAGATATCATCCCATACGATGGTTTGAATCCGACAAGGCTCATATAAGCTGCAGGCAGTCTGACGGAGCCTCCAGTGTCGGTACCGATCCCGATATGAGCCAGATCCTTGGCGACAGCAAGCGCACTTCCGCCGGAGCTTCCACCAACTGACAGATGATCCCTCTTTACTGACCCACCGTTGACCACGGGGCCATAGACGGAATGGGTAGAGTGCGAACCCATGCCAAACTCGTCCATATTGGTCTTTGCAACTAGAACCATTCCTGCTCTTTCAAGTAACTTGGTGACGGTGGCATTTTCCGGAGGACAGAATCCTTTGAGAATTCTGGACGCACATGTGGTCGGTAACGTTGCGGTGACTATGTTATCTTTGACAGCGACCGTGAACCCATGATTTGCAGATTTCAACCTGTCTTTTTCACGTATTAAATCTCTGGTTACGCCAGCTTCTTGTCCAACTCACAGAAGTTTCGCCAGGCTTTTGTGCTCTTGTGCAGGCTATCCAGCCGCGCTGCCTGCTTGAAGACGGCATCTTGTAGGCGGATTTGATCGTGAAGCGAAATATACGGGTTCCCGAAATGCGTGGAGTTCTGTGAGCGACGAAGAATGGCCCGGACTTGCGCTTTGAGGGTAATGTCCCTATAGTCACGGTGGCCCCGACCGATACGCATCAGAGGTCGGCTTGAGGAGGAGGAGGCCGGTCTGCTTGCGTGCGGCCACCGTTGACGAGGTTGTGAGTTGAATGGAAGATGAAGCAAACGAAGTTCAGAAGGCCGCAGGTGGAATCGAGGAAGCTAGCCCAATAGGCATTGGTCACGTGAATGTCTTGGCACGGAACCTGAATTCCTGATGCTGCTTTTGGCACCAACAAGGAACTCGCCGATCTCCAATACCCGATGTCTTGATGCAACGCGGTTGTTGTGCTCCTTTGAATTGCTGAAGGAAGAAGTCAATCAGTTAGGCCCCTTCCTCAAGCCCTTTGTGGCACTCCGTTTTACCTCCATGACCGAGACTGCGGTTTTGCTTGTTGTTTTGGTAGGCCGAGCAGCAGAGGTCTGTATGTGCTGACAGGTCATTTCAAATCCCATCCCACCTGCATATGCATCTCTCTTACGGAGTACAACATGAGCAATGCTTCGGAGGAAATCAAAGGCACAAGAATCAGAGCCTGCACGGAATGTCGCCAGCAAAAGGTCCGCGATTTGTTCAGCCCTGCTCTATGTGCCGGTCTGAGAGTAACCAGCAGCTAGCTTCGATGCGACGCCTCGAAGGACTACTCACAGCCATGCTCGCGGTGCAAACGGTTTAAATTGGATTGTGTTGTCTCCAAGAACTTCAAACGGGTGAAGCGACGCACGTGTGTCAACTGCGCGCGGCTAAGTGACGTGTGCTGATCTCGTCGAACAGAAAGTCCGAACTCCAAGCCGAGCTAGATCAGTTGAAGAAGCAAGTCGGGACCAGTACGCCGGGGCAGAAAGTTCAGTCGCAATCCGCGGACAGGCTACTTCCTGGGAAACTTCTGAATTTCCAAAGCGTACCAGCATCGGCGGGAGCATTCGCGACAACTCAGCTCTCCGGTGTCAACCTTCACTCGTCAGATGCTTCGACAAGTGTCCCCGATCCTCCAGGGCCAGTCTCAAATGGTGGAGCCATCCCATCTGCCAGTGCCCAATCCGCCGCCACCCGGTCGCAAACTATTCAAGATCTGATTGTTGATGCGCAAGACATTGATGAATGCTTCGGGTTGTGAGTGAATAACTCAAATTTGCCCGAGACTTATCGCACTCTTACAGGACACTAGGTTTTTCGAGAAAAACTTACCATATCTGCCAATTTTCGACAATAGACTGCACCCGAATGACTGCCATGCAGCTTCCCCGTTTCTATTTTGGACTATAGTCGTCATTGGTTCAAGAAGGTATTCGAAAGATCCAACCTTGATCCTTCTTCTCGCTCCCAAAGTCTTGGACCTAGCGAAAGGAGCAATTTTCTCGCCTGAGAGAGTTTTACCCACGATACAGGCTCTCGTACTTCTCTGCACATGGCAAATGCCTATAGATACGTTGCAGAAAGATATTACCCCGCAACTAGCGGGCGCCATGATACGGCTTGCAACAAACGTCGGCCTTCACGTTTATGGCTCTGTTCAGGACTTCACTCGAGTGCCACTCAAATATGACAGTCAGCAGAGAAGCTTCCGGACCAGACTGTGGTCGATGTGTCTATATACCTGCCAAAGGTGAGAAGGAAGAAATGAACAGAGTTCTCGGGGAAAGCTAACGACTTGAATTAAGAGTCAATAATGCACGAGGCTTGCCGCCCTTGGTATTAACAGACACTTATTGCCATGAAGGCTACAAACAAAATCCACTAGACACATTACCTCCGACGGTGCGCTTTCAAAGGAAATTAAACCAGATGGTCAGTGAGGCCATTTTACAAATCGATCGGGATGCCTTGTCCAAAAAGCCAGATGAGCGCAACATGATGCTTGGACCTACGATCAATGCTTGTCTCTCGAAATTGGCTGTGTTAAGTGTCGGATGTCCTTCCAAACTTGGTTCGTTGACATCCCATTGTATCTGTGACCTCTGCTAAGCTGTTCCAGATCAATTCGCGCTCCTGATTGCCGAATTACAAGTCTCAGCCTGCCGCTTGATCGCGCCCTCGTTGACCATCGCGAACGAGGACCTTGTCAAATTGTATGGATTTGCTTGTGCTATAATCGAGCTCGCTACAGAACTCGACCAGGAGCAAGGAATGGCTGAGTATGGCTCAACAAATATCAACATGAACTGGAATCTCTCGGCTTTCATTATACTCCGCATTGGAAAGTCTCATGTCCGTGAATCCCTAGACTTAAAGCGAGGGCAAAGGTGTTATTTTTCCGCCATCAATCTGAACAAGAGACAAAGTGTTAGGTCAGACGATATATCGGCTAGGGCGACGATGATCTTGTCACAATTGTGGACAAGTAAGGTGGTCATCAAACAACCCGATGGCACCCCTGATAGTCTATGGCTCCGTTGTCGAAACAGACTTGGAGTAAGTGTGACCTTTGACTGCTTCTGGTTGTGGCGACAAGAATTTGGCGGCCAGCCAAACCCATATGAGGGAGTAGAAGGTATATTGCAAATCCGTCACTGGCTTTTGATCCCCATCGCTGACAGGTTTGGAAGACGAAAAGGCTAACACGACTGCTAAACCGGTCATCTGGAACTCACCAGGTACAGACTCAGTTAACATGATGATGGGTATCGGGTGGTCACCAGACACCGTTTTCCAGGACTTTCAATGGCCGATCTTTGACGAATTTTTGTATGACGGTTGGATGGGAGGAGGCAATGATGAACCGACCATGGCACAGTAAAATATGAGAAGTCGTTGGCTCGAAAGCAATAGCCGGATGTCAAACAAGTCCTTTTCCGACTGGCAGATTGGTGAGTAGCTATGGCAACCTTCATTTGGAAGAACGGATTGTCTCGACTATGTCTTTGACACTTCACTGGCACACACAACTATGTACATCCACCACGCCATGTCTCGCTCGGCCTCGTTCGTACTCCTGAATCAAGGAGCATTCTGTGTCAAGCCGAGTTATTTAGGTTGAGCTACCGGGATGCGGCGCCTGGACCAGGCCCGCTCGGGGTAACGGTTAACCATCAATGATATTTAAGCCCTGCGGTAATGGCCGAAGGCTCACGGCTATGGCGCCAAAAATTTTATATTGGATCCACTCAAACTCGATAAAGCTTCAGGACTGGGACGGATCCTCGCCGCCGGTTAATGGCATGTCATAGCAGACCCTGCTTTGGTCGAAAGGCGTACAGATGTTGCAGTATTAGGACTCTGCAGTATCATTCGCTCTTATTTACAAGACCGGGCTGTTTTCATTCCGCCTGATTATTCAATTGCTTGCCAGTCGGCGACATCTCCTTCTCCTTTCTAACACATACCGATATGGATCAGGGGCGAAATCAGACTGTCTCTCAGCAAACTACAACGTGCCGCTTTGCAGACGTAAGCATAATTGCCTGACTCAAAAATGCAGCTAATGGACCTCGAAATCAGATTGCAGTCACATACACGGCAAATGAATTCCAGGGTATCTATAGAGGCAAGAAACAGCATGACGAGGACTTCGACCAAGTCTTGGAAAGGGCAGAAGCGATCGGATGTTCGAAGATCATGTTGACTACGATGAATCTCACGGGCGCTTCGCAGAATCTCGAGGTTTGCAGGCGATGGCCCGGGACATGTTATATGACCCTGGGGATCCATCCCTACCATGCTTCTGAGCTGTATGACGGAACAAGCAGTTTGGATGATCTTGTCAATATGAGCATGTTGCTCGCGGACCAAAACAATGGCGTTGGACCTCTCGTCGCTTTTGGGGAAATTGGCCTGGATTACTTCTACTTGGATCGAGCTGGTAAAGAGATCCAAAGAAAGGCCTTATTGGAGCAGTTGGAAGTCGCCACCACGTTGGACCTGCCATTGTTTCTCCACGTTCGAGACTCTTACGACGACTTCGTCGACATCATCAGGCACTTTATCTCTAGGTTGCCAAAGAGAGGTATCGTGCATTCATTTGCTGGCACAAAGGAAGAGATGTTCGGTCTCGTAGATTTGGGATTCGATATCAGTGTCAATGGAGTGAGTTTCAGAACCGAAGCTCAGCTCGAGATGGTGCGAGCCATCCCACTGGACAGATTACAACTTGAGACAGATGCTCCGTGGTGCGAGATCCCGGACACTGGGCCTGCCGTGGGCTGTTTAAAGGATGCACCACCTCTGCCACCAGCTCGGAAGCCAAGCAAATTTGTCAAGGGAGATATGGTAAAGGGAAGAAATGAGAGCTGTACTATCGAAAGAGTTGCACGGGTTGTTGCAGGCGTCAAAGGCGTTCCATTGACAGAGGTTGTCGATGCTGCGTGGAGAAACAGCATCAAGATGTTTGGACTCGGGGAGAGGAAAGATTAGAAGGGCGAAATTTAGATCCTCATCTTAGTACAGAGCATTCAAGGGTCAACGATTTGCCACACAGTATAGAGCTCGACGTAGTCGTCGATGCAGTTTGTCGAGTCAAGATGATCACAAAAGAACTTCGATTTTTGATCCATTTGTCGCACGCCACATGGACAACAGCCGACCCGGCTTCAGCCGCGCCTAGCCGCAGAATATGCGTTGGTCAGTGATACATTCATGATTCGAGGCTCGAGACTTCAGGGGGAACGGAGAAAGGAACCGGGTTCCGGGCCCAGCTCCGAACTCGTCGTGGCAAACTGTCAGATTAAGAAGGATTCGATATAAGAGCGAGTCTGCAAAGACCAGCGGTCCCGCTCGCAATCGAGCACACTCATTCGAGTGAAATAAATGCCGCCTATAGATTTGCATCGGCATCGGAATCTGGATATCTACCATGGCAAGGCTCACCGATTTTCGCCTCCTGTGTTTCGATGTGTACGGCACCTTGATCGACTGGGAGACAGGCATTCTCGACAGCCTGAAGCCGCTAAGTGAAGCGGCACAGCTCACGCGGGAGCAGACACTCGAGGTCTATCATGAGCTCGAGAAGGAACAGCAAAGCAAGACTCCCGATATGCCGTATTTACAGCTGCTGATCTCCATCTACCCGCAATTTGCTGCACGAATAGGCGTCAAAGCGCCGTCTGCCCAAGAGTCCGAGACATTCGGGCAATCCGTGGGCAAGTGGCCCGCATTTCCCGACACGGTTGACGCCCTCAAGCGGCTTTCCGAGTCCTACAAGATGGTGGTGCTCTCAAATGTGGACAGAGAGAGCTTCCAGGCCACCAATGACGGTCCACTTGGAAGGGTTCGCTTCGACAAAGTCATCACGGCCCAGGACGTCGGCTCCTACAAGCCTGATCTTCGCAACTTCGAGTACATGCTCGATGCGGTAAAGACGGAATATGGCGTAGAGAAGAACGAGATCCTCCAGACTGCTCAGAGCCAGTTCCATGATCGCCATCCGGCAAGGAAAACGGGTATCAAGTCAGCATGGATCGAGAGGAATGGGACCATGGGCAATCGAGAGCAAGAGGTCTATGACTGGAGGTTTGGCACGCTGGGCGAAATGGCCGACGCGGTGGAGCAGGAGCTCGCCGCCAAAAGGAGCTGAGGGACGACAAATTGGCGAGTGTCAGGAAGGAGACTTTACGTGGTGCACCATATTCTGTTGAGCAGCTCAATCATCCGTGACTCCGTCCCTCCATGTCCTTGTCATACCCGCCCTGCATGCCATTCCGATTACCGACTTGACGGCAAGGTCAAAATACAGAAAGGAGAGACGAGCGGCATTGATAGGCAAGGTATTGACGCCTCATAGGAGGAAAGCTTGGAGGGTCAGCACATATGTGATGTGGTCCAGTGCCTCTCCTTGATGGAAAGCTTCATTCATACTGGCCTTTTGCTCGTCGACAGCTGTCACAGTTATCCCCTAGGTCAGTTCCTTGAAGGACATAATGAACACGAGAGGCACTGGCGTAGCGATCATTATATCAACGGTATAGAATACCAGGATTTGCTCAAAGATAGATCTCACAATTTCTGGTCAGTTGTGTCCGCCATGCCAAGAGCTGGTCGGGTGGAATTGCTGTGGCGCTTCTGTGGCTGTGCTCGGCATAAGTTGCTCCCAAGCCACCAATCAGCTCCGAAACCCTGATTGTGAAGCTGCGACATCTGCAACACTGTATCTGGTCCATTTCTCGCTTCGTCCCTCATCCCAGAGTCACTCTTTTCTAGGCTTCTGGGCAAGATGTACAGATTGGGTCGCCGCAGCTTGGGCCTGGCCTTGAAGGCCGTCAGAGTACGTCTCCAACGCTTCAATTGGCCGCTACAAGGTGATCTAACAGGGAGCCGCAGGATACCCCGGTGCGGAGCTCAGTCCAACAACAACAGTTGAGGCACCTCAGCATCCACGAATATCGAGCTGCCAATTTACTTAGAACCTATGGCGTCGGAGTCCCTTACGGAGAGGTTGCTCGAACGGCAGAAGAGGCCGAGGTTATTGCAAAGAAGATTGGTATGCGCAGACAATGGAGGACTTCGAAGCGTGCACAACACTGACGTGGATTTTGCAGACGGAGATGATATGGTGATTAAAGCCCAAGTCCTCGCAGGTGGTCGAGGCAAAGGTACCTTTGACAATGGCTTGAAGGGCGGTGTGAGGGTGATTTATTCGTATGCTCGTCAAACCGCCATTGAGCCGCGATCATGGCTGACTGATTGGGAACAAGGCCTACCGAAGCCAAAATGTTCGCAAGTCAAATGATTGGGCACAAGCTCATCACGAAGCAGACGGGTGCCCGAGGCCGCATTTGCAACTCTGTCTACATCTGTGAACGCAAATTTGCCCGCCGGGAATTTTACCTTGCCATCCTTATGGATCGCTCGACTCAGTCGCCAGTCATTGTTGCGTCATCCCAAGGTGGCATGGATATCGAGACCGTAGCCAAGGAGACTCCTGATGCCATCATCACAACACCTATTGATATCAACAAGGGAGTGACAGACGAGATTGCGCGGAACATTGCGACCGAGCTTGGATTCAGTGAACAGTGCATTGAAGATGCAAAGAACACAATCCAAAGACTGTACCAAATTTTCATGGAGAAGGATGCCACTCAGATCGAAATCAATCCGCTCAGCGAAACTAGCGACCATCAGGTGTTGGCCATGGACGCCAAGCTGGGCTTCGATGACAACGCCGAATTCAGGCAGAAGGAGATCTTCAGCTGGAGAGATACGTCCCAAGAGGATCCCGATGAGGTGAAGGCCGCAGAGTACGTCATCTTAGCCAAGTGCACAACGTCTGCTTACACAGTCACAGGCACGGTCTAAACTTCATCAAACTGGACGGTGATATCGGGTGTCTAGTCAATGGTGCCGGCCTAGCCATGGCTACCATGGATATCATCAAGATCAACGGTGGCTCCCCCGCAAACTTCTTGGATGTCGGAGGTGGTGCGACCCCAGAAGCCATCAGATCAGCCTTCGAGCTGATCACCAACGACCCGAAAGTGACTGCCATATTTGTCAACATCTTTGGCGGCATTGTCAGGTGTGATGCAATCGCCTCGGGCTTGATCCATGTCGTACAACAGATGAACTTGAGATTGCCGATTGTTTGTCGTTTGCAGGGCACCAACATGAAAGAAGCTGCTGAGTTGGTAAGTCGTCTCTGTGGCGCTCGAGTGTGTTGGCCCCACAGCTAATCCGCCATGAAATAGGTCAACAATTCAGGTCTCAAGATCTTCTCCATCACCGACCTACAAGCTGCAGCGGAGAAGGTAGTAGACCTGTCCAAAATTGTCAAAATGGCACGGGACATTGATGTGGGCGTGGAGTTTACCCTCGGTATCTGAGTCCCCAATAGTTGGCTTGGGTGGTCGAAATGGTTGATAATCACTCAGGGTCTCGCGCGTAGCAGGAGGGACATGTTTGTAACTCCTTTGGTGCGCCATTCAACGATATACCATTGTGCAACAGTCGACCTACCTGTACGAGTATTATCATCCTGTTCGTCCCTGATTGGCTTCTTTTCTACCATTAGCCCTCGACTATGGCCTCCCGGGACGCAATCCCCGTGAAATAGATGGTACTGTTCAATTACGAGATGATCTAGTTGGTTTTGGTGGCCTCTTTTTGGCCGATTGAAATGTGCTCACGTCCGTTCTCATCGTTGCCATTCTATCCGTCCGCTTTTCGCCAGGACAGCGGACCAACGGCCCAATCCGCTCTTCCCGCGGCATGTACTCAGGGATGATTACTCTGCCAATCAGCTGCCCTTCCTTTCAATTTCTCCGAATCCTTCGCACCCAAAAAATACAACCCCTCCTTCACCAATGCCAACTGAAAGGGGAAAAAAAAAAACTGGACCAACGGGGAATTGAACCCCGGACCTTTCACAGTCACATTTTGAAGCCGTTTGTAAGAGAAGGCATTTGATGCGAAGCGAATATCATACCAACTAGACCATTGGCCCGAAGATCATTTCAATGGGAATTGAGTGTGATCACTCACACTCAAATTCTAACCTTTATTTTGGGACTGCAATATAGATCATCTAAGAAAAGTTGTGCTAATCCATTTGCCGCAGCGATAGCGTAATCGGGCGCCTTCCGAGCCGCTCTGTCCGAGATTTGACACTATGGAACAAGATCTACACTGCAGCAACACCTTACAACGATCCCCATGGCAGCAAAAGACGCGGAAACACGGCAAAAAGCATTCCAATTTGTTCTTCACGCAAAAATGATGTGAATTACTAAAGCGGGCACTTCCCTCAAATGGCAAGTGACAATATCCTCTTCCGTTCTATTGTTCCGTATCACAATCTTCTTGTGAAGCTGCGGCCTCAGCGCCTGCTGCCTCCTGCATTTGGATCATGGATGTCGTCGACCATGTTCGCCGGTGACGCAGATCTCCCCGCAAACTCATGGACTATCTGGCACCTTGATGCGCCGTCTTCCTCTGCGCGCAACTCGTGGGGTCCAAGCAGGAAAAGTACAACCCAGCTGAAACAGAAACGAAGTCGAGATGTCTCCTCAAGCTCGGTTTTCACGACCTTCCTCTGTCACCATTCCACCAACCCAACCTTATGGATCCATGATGCCGCGCGCTCGCCCCATCAACCAGCGTTACCATGGCGATTATGATACATACCCAGGCGCAGCAGAGGCAAGGTCACCCTACGCCCAAGATGGTTGGCGGACACCCATCGTGGAAGACCCAGAGCACCGGGCTAATCGATCGAGAAACTATTTCAATAATGTGTCCTCGCCCGAAAGCTCGAGTGAACCGCCATGGAGGGATTCGCAAACTACGGCAGCGGCAAACGGAGAGGACGCGGAGAAAGGCAAGGCTGAGTGTATGCCAGATGACCACCCGAAGGTTCTCTCCTGGTCGCAACGCATGAAGCATGTCACTTGGGCGTGGTTCACCCTTACAATGGCGACAGGGGGTATCGCCAATGTCCTCCACGCCGGTATGGTCCCCCCCTTTTTTTTTGGCGCAATTTTCCAGTACCTAGTCTGAAACGCAATTTCTCTGACGGCAGATCCTGAACCACAGTGCCGTACCGATTTCACGGTCTCTATGCGATCGGTGTTGTAATCTTCTTACTCAACATTGTCCTATACATCGTCATTTGGGCCATGATCATCACGCGATTCACGCTGTACCCCTGGACCTTTCGGGCGAGCTTCACCCATCCCACCGAATCACTTTTCGTGCCGGCCTTCGCTGTCTCCTTTGGCACCATCTTGATCAACATCGTCCAATACGGGTCTGGTTATGTCGGACTCTGGCTCAACCGTACCGTTTTGATCCTGTACTGGTTCGACTGCGGCCTGGCCATTGTCTTGAGCATTATCATCTACCTCGTTCTCTGGTCCACTCAGACCTTTACCATCGCCAGAATGACTCCGATATGGATTTTTCCTGCGTATCCTTTGCTGATCATCGGTCCCCACGCCGCAAACATAGCCACCAAGGCACTAAGCTCGAAGCAGGCGATTCGCATCCTGGTCGGAGGTTTCACGATTCAAGGCATTGGTTTCCTCGTCTCGCTAACCATCTACTCGGCCTTTGTATACCGACTTATGACGCAGAAACTGCCCGCCGAGCCACTTCGACCAGGCATGTTCGTCTCGGTCGGCCCTTCCGCCTTCACGGTCAGTGGGACTATCGGCATGGCCAATGACCTGCATCGTGTTATTGCTTCCTCTCCCACGTCCACCTTTATGGATGTGCCAGGTGTGCTTGCCGCCCAAATCTTGAAGTTGGTTGCCACCTGGATGTGTCTCTGGCTCTGGGGTTTGGCATGGTGGTTCTTCTTCGTCAGCTTAGTCTCTAATGTGGATTGTTTGCGAGAAAAGCACCGTATGCCCTTCGCCATGACCTGGTTTAGCTTCATCTTCCCCCAAACAGCTCTCACCACGGCGACCTTTGCTGTGGCCGAGGCATTCGATGTCGATGCTATCCGAGTGATTGGTTGCGTCATGACGGTCCTGTTGATTATTTTGTGGTTTGTTGTCGTTGGGTTTATGATACGGGCAGTCGTGAATAAACAGATCTTATGGCCCGAGAGGGGAGAGGATAAGTCGGAAGGTGGGTTCAAAGCTAGGATGGAGGACTCAGATACCAGTGTGACGACGCTGCTGAACAAGGAGATCCCGCCCATGCTGAACGAAGCGGGGACTCGAGTTACCGATGAAAGTCGTGGTGGGGATCAGACATATCGGGTCGGTGATGCAGCGACGAGGAATGCATGATCCCAGCCCACAGGTATCTCGGAAATACCAGTGAATGACTCGTTTACCGATCTTCTCGTGGAGTGGATTGGTTAGGTTTCGTCGCTTTATTGTCTTTGGAGACTCACCCCGCGTCCTGAGACAGAACTTCAGACATCAATCTCCAGGAAAGCATTGAAAGCGATTCTGGCGATAACCAAGTCGATTGGGATCAAACCCTGCTTGGAGACATTCTTGTCAACGTCCTGACTTGTGAAGTTTATGGCGTGTTGCCTTCTGGCGACCGTTGCACTTGTTCGATGGCGCTTCCGGCCATTTCCACAAGCTCGGCAATAAATTCGTTCAACCTCTTCATGTGCTGGAGGTGCCTATCAAAGACCTGGGCGCGATATAAAAACGTTTCGACAAACTCGAGGACTTCCCGCAAGCTCTGGGCGTCGGTGGAAGCAGACTCGGTGGCGGGATTGAGCAGGATATTGCAGAATAGCGTCAACACCGCCGAAATGGGATAGAATATCACGATCCTGGGTTGGAATTGTTTGTTAATTAATGGGGCCATGTGTAGAGGTGGGAAAATGGAGTCGAGACACACACACAAATACACACCAGAAAAGATTGGGCACCAGGAGGTGTTCCGCAAAATGCAAGTAGGAAAGCAAGGAGCGGCTTGCTTCTAAAGCGAGGTCTAGACTCGAACTCAGCCCTTCGTTTATCAACCGGTCGTGAGACCAATTGCGGCAGCGGCTGCTGGCTTGGTGGATTGTGGTGATGCAGTGGTGGTATTCTAGTCGCAACATGAACGAGGGAATGGTCAGGCCCTTGGTCGGCAACTGTTTGGCCTCCTGGGCGAACGAGAGCGGTGGTCGAGTTTCCGAAGCCAGTGATTGCCTCCAGTTTTCAAGCAGGTCGTCGAGCTCACGGATGTCCTTGAGAATTTCGGCATCGGGTTTTCGCAAGGCATGCGGCGAGTAGAGCTTTTCGTAGGCCTTTGACTTGATGAGGCTTAAGCCGAGATCGCCCGGCAACCTGGTGAGGCCTCTGAACCCCTCTGCGTTCTGTCTCGAATAGTACTTGGGGAACACAAGATCGCAGGATGTGTCGCTTATGATCGGAGGTCGTCCGGTTCGGAATGTGATCTCCCTATCGAGGGTGTAGCAGAGCCAGAACATCTCACGTTGGTGGAGTTTTGTTCTGATTTCGAGGTTTGGTGATTTCGTCGGAAGGCCATCGACTTCCTCGCCGGGATAGAGGTGCGCCCCCAGCATGTAGAGGAATCTCGATGCAAGGGTCAGCACAACGTCCGCTGTCTGAACATGACCATGGGTGAACTGGTAGACGGCCTATTGACACCCGAGAAACGGTCAGCTCTGGCTTCGGGGATGTGGAGGCTGAACGCACCAGCATGATCATAGCGTCCACTACCTCAGTCCGTGCTCTCGCATTTAGAATATCTGGAAAAAGTATTTCGGCTCCCATTAAGCATTCTTCAATATTGATGACAGGAAATGCACCATCGTCGGGATTAGAAATAGCCGACACAAATGCTAGGAAGGAAAATACGCATGCCTTCGCCGTGGCGACGTCAATGCGGTCTTTGCCATTTTCTCCATAAGCCCTGCCAATTACAATCGGAAACAAGACAGGATCGGCAATGGGGAAGATGCTAGAAACAGGTGAGTTGCGGTAAGCGTCAAAGTATTGCTGAACATGAGTCCTAGGGGGGAGTTTTGGCATGTGCTCATGCACTGTAAAATCACGGCCATTCATGCTGGGCCACGCGCCCAGTTGGTTTTGCCAGAGAGGCCGTTGAGAATCGCCCAGTTCGCGCACGGCAGCGCTCTCTTCAGTTCGAAATCCGATCCAGCGCTGACCCTCCAATGAAAGAAAGGGGACTCCATGGAACAGGTTGATGTCACCAAGCCTATAACCAACGGAGTATATTCGACCGACGGATACGTTCTTCGGAGACTTCACCTTAACATGGTCGTCTGGGCTTGAACCTGCTGTTGGCGGTAGTGGATCTAGGGATGGCGTTTCTGTATGCAAGTGAGGATATGTATTGCAACATGATGAAAGTGAGTACCTTCGAGTCTTGCGATGTTCTCGGCAAGTAAGTTCTCTATCCGTTCCATGCGTTGCACAAGGTTTCTCTCACGTAACTTCCTGTAGGATGTCAATTAGCGAAACTGGCCGACATGATTTAGTGGCTTGCTCAAGAAAAGGGTAGCCTGGTACCTGGAAGCCTCGGTTCGGCGCCTGATCTTATGCTTCCTCGCGAAGACACAGGGTATGTCGTGGTGCATACACCAGTTGCACTGAGGTTTGGCGCCGTCGCATTTGATCTGGCCGGAATTTTTATCAGCTCCCTGAACGGGATCCACAGGCTTGGAATATGGACGGGACTGAGCACCTTTTTCGTATGGCACGAGTCGCAGGCGCGAGGCCTACGCTGGCTCCTGGCGCTATGTTCTGACGATAGAGATTCGACACTCTGCAGCTCGGACATGATGTGTACTGAGCTTCTCGTCACGTTCAGAACTGGTGGTTTTGTGGGAGAGTATGGGGCTGGCTGTGTAAGTAGAATGACTTAGCGCACGTCTTGACACGCTGATCCAGACCTTCGGACCGCAATAGGGGAGTGGTGATGGAGGGTACATGTCAATGGGCCTGTTCGCAAGCAGATCGTAAGGTCTTGAACTATGCAGCATCTGACAAACTCTATCAAAATCGT